TGGAGAGGTAAGGAAACTGTCTTGACCTGATGGTCCTGACTTTGCAATGAAAATCCGACCTCACACTTGTTCATCACTTGTTCGCAACTGGCATCTTACGTTCCGATGCTGACAAAATCTTTGTCGTTCAGAAGTTTTCTAAGTGGTGTATAAACTAATGGCTCTGAAGGGGTTAATGTTCATGTTGCATGGGCTCCATACCCTCTGCTGAAGTCAAACACAATCTGTGGGAGGAGACAAGGGGTTCTACTCTACCTTTCAGAAGGAGAAAATGTATCTAAATCAGCTCCTTAAGGTCCTAGCAACTAAGCCTGATCAAGTATCGTTGTATTGATTGCTATCATGCAATAAACCTTCTTGTTATCTAAAAGCAGTGTCTCTTCTGTAGATATGTGGTGGTCTGTCCTCTATCACTAGGCAGACCCAAGACAAAGCAAAGAAAAAGGAGGCTGGTGACAGCAAATGCCTCAGTCAATGCTTTCCCAATACCACAGGCTGATTGAGGTGAAAAGTACAATAAACTGCCAACAGTGCTCGCCTGGGAAAATATAATTTCAGGTTTCCGTCAAGTTAGATAAATGCTTGGAACTCCACATTTACATGTCTCAGCACCTTGTTACAGAGAACATTTGATGGAATCTTCCCATGCCCTGAACAACATGTTTTTTTTTAAATTTATTGATAGGATCACTGGCCAGACAGCATTTATTGCCCATCCCTAATTGTCCAGAAGGCAGTTCAGAGTCAACCACATCACTGTGGGTCTGGAGTCATATGTAGGCCAGACCAGGTAAGGATGGCAGTTTCCTTCCCCTAAAGAACTTTAGTGAACCAGATAAGTTTTCCCGACAATTGACAATGGATTCATGGCTATCATTAGATTCTTAATTCCAGATATTTATTGAATTCAAATTCCACCATCTGCCATGGCGGGATTCGAACCCAGGTCCCCAGAACCTTATGTGGGTCAATGGACTAACAGTCCAGTGATAATACCACAGGGCCATCACCTGCCCCATACCACTATGCCATTGAATTAACGATTTGGCTGGGAAAATAGGATCAGCAGAAATGAGATTTGTGATGTTGAAAAGAAAATGTCGGATTCTGCAACCAAGTTTTAAATGGCAAGATGAGAATCGCATTAGTGAGTGGCATGAGGGATATGTGCATCTATTTGCATGCATTAGGGGTGCCATTGGGACCTAATCTCACCTCACTGGTGTGCAGTTTTCCTTTTCACACAACTGCTGGTCAGAAACCAGGCAGCAATAATTCCCAACGTAGAAGTCAGAGCGGATACATGGGGACACCAGCTCCTTGCTTGTTCATTCAGGCCTCCATCTTGGACACCAGTCAGCAAAACCACAGCGCATACTTCACCACTGACCACTTGAACCTCCATCCACAGATGCTGGCATCAGACATACACTCTTATTTTAAATCTCCTACTCATTTACAGTGCGCTTCTGCATTTCAATATTGCAATTCCCAACGCACCAGTGTCAACCATTGTAATTCTGCTGCCAGGGCTCGGGAGACGAGACGAAGGTAAAATATTCCACCACTTGTCTTGGCTCGCTTGGACCTATTAAGGGGCATTTTCTCCTAGAATGGGTCAAGGGAGGGATTGAATGAGATAAAAATGGATGTCTCAGCCATTAGAGCTGGTTCAGGTCAGGGAATGGTGATGAGGCTTATTCAGTGAGCGAGTAGGGAGCACAAAGGCCATGCAGGGTAAAGATGAGCTTTTGTGGTGGGGAAGAGTGAGTGAGGGAAGATGTGGCATTCAATAGTGAGAGTGGTAGACCATGAGCCTTGATGGGAGGAGATGCAATAGCAGAGATAGAATGAGAGTGAAGTAGCAGAAAGAAGACGGTAGCACCTATCCTCACAGAGTGGAACAGGTCATTCACCTTGTGGTATTGCTGGGCATTCCAAATGACCTTCATGGCAACTTTGAACGAGGGTGGCAGGGTCTGGTGGCATAATCTCCTCTACCAGTCCTGTAGGAAGTGGACAACTGATCTCTTTACCACCCCATTCACCACATCCATCAGGTTGCTGGTATATCAAATCTACCTCCGATGATTGATGAGGACGGAGGGGTAGATGTTGTCTACATGGACTTCAGCAAGGCCTTTGACAAGGTTCTTTGTGGCAAGGTGATACAAAGGGTGAAGTCACATGGGATCCGCAGTGAGGTGGTAAGATGGCTGAAGAACCGATATGGTCATAGAAGACAGACAGTAATGGTGAAAGGGTGTTTTCTGACTGGAGATACATCGAAACATAGAATCATAGAAGATAGGAGCAGGAGGAGGCCATTTGGCCCTTTGAGCCTGCTATACCATTCATCACAATCATGGTTGATCAACCAATTCAATAGCCTAATGCTGCTTTCTCCCCATAATCTTTGATCCCATTCACCCCAAGCGCTATATCTAGCCACCTTTTGAATACATTCAATGTTTTGGCATCAACTACTTCTTGTGACCAATGGTGTTTTACAGGATTCAGTGCTGGGACCCCTCTTGTTTGTAATATACACACATAAATAAATTGGAGGAAAATGTAGTTGGTATGATTAATGAGTTTGTGGACAACACAAGGATTGGGGGAGCTGCAGAAAGATGAGGAGGATTACCGGAGGACACAGGATATAGATAGGCTGGAGACTTGGGTGGAGAGATAGCAGATGGAATTTAATCTGAACAAATGCAAGATGATGCATTTTGGAAGATCTAATGCATATAGGGAGGCATATAGTAAATGCCAGAGCCCTTAGAAGAATTAACATACAGAAGAATGTAGGCTTACAGGTCCACAGTTCCTTGAAAGTGGCAACATAAGTGGATAAGAGGTGTATGGGATAACACAGTGTGGAGCTGGAGGAACGCAGCAGGCCAGGCAGCATCAGAAGAACAGGAAAACTGACGTTTTGGGCCGTGACCATTCTTCATTTCTGAGGAAGATTTCTGAAGAAGGCTCCCAACCTGAAACATCAACTTTCCTGCTCCTCTGATGCTGCCTGGCCCGCTGTATTTCTCCAGCTCCACACTGTGTTATCGCTGACTCCAGCATCTGCATTTCTTACTATCTGCAAGAGGTATATGGCATGCTTGTGTTCATTGCTTGGGGCATAGACTATAAGAATTGGAAGTCATGTTGCTCCTGTATAGAACTTCAGTTAGGCCACATTTGAAATATAGTGTACAGTTCTGGTCGTCACACTACCAGAAGGAAATGGAGGCTTCGGAGAGGGTACAGAAATAGTTTACCAGGATTTTGCCTGGTTTGGAGGGTATTGGCTGTGAGGAGAATTGGACAAAGTCAATTTGTTTTCACTTGAACGCCAGAAACTGAGAGTGACCGAACAGAAGTTTTCAGAATTATGAGAGGCATGGATAGAATGAGTAGTTTGAGTCTTTTTCCTAGGGTAGAAATGTCAATTACTACGGAGACATAGGTTAAAGATAAAAAGGGGAAAGTTTAAAGGAGATGGAACCAGCAAGTTTTTTATACAGAAGGTGCCAAGTGCATGGAATGCACTGCCAGAGGAGATGATGCAGTCAGATACAATAGCAATGTTTAAGAGGCATCTTGACAGATACATGAACAGGCAGGGTATAGACCATATAAAGGCAAAAGGTTTTTAGTTTAGAAAGTCATCATGTTTTGCGGCAGGCTTGGTGGGCAGAAGGGCCTGTTCCTGTGCTGTGCTGTTCTGTGTATTTTCTTACTTACCACCTCAGGAGCAATTCTTGAGACACACAGAGAAGCTTCAGACTGACAACATTTGACCTGTTGCACAACCGCATTTTAAATATGGCATAATTTGTGGGAACCCCAAGAATCCTAGAAGGTCCCAGCATTGGTTGTATTTCTGCATCTGGTGAGATGAAAGTTAGGACAAGTGGAATAGGTAATGAGTTGGGATTTGGAGAATAGTGTGAGAAATTTCACTTGGCATCATGGAGAGAAACCCTCTGTGAAACTCATCCAAATTCATCTTCCCCCAATTTCTCAGTAAAATTCAGCCCAGTCACTCCCTAAGAAAACTACTCCTGGCATTTATCCTAATTCTTTGTTTATATGTTTGACAGAAATATTCTGTCACCCTGGAATCACTGTCTACTTCAAGCAAGCCTTCAAAGCTGACGTTCTGTGGATCCCTTCATCATTTTAAAGATTTCAATTCTGTCTCCTCTAAGCTTATGTTTTGTTGAACATGTTACAGCTGGAACACAAACTTATCATTCTTTGGAATATTGAATACAGCATCCAGCTGAATTTCTGATTTGGACACTCATCATGTGGCGCCTTCTAATGGCATTATAAAGATAGCAAATGACCCCTTTGCTATCATCCTTTGCATTCTCTCCCTCGGGTCTAATCTAACTCTTTGCCAATAGATTTTTTTTTGCAATAACCTCTGGCACTATTACCACTATCCATTTCGAATCGAACTGGACTGCTTCTGATTTCCTTGTTATTTAAAAGCTAAAAATATACTCTTTAAGTCTGAGTTTTGTCAAGTAAAATAACCTTTATTCTTAAATCATATTGGATTTCTCACAAAATGCTTGTGGAGAATGATGTTCCCTGCTTTGAATGCTGAATTAACTGTGATGTCTTTGCATACTTAATCATGTATTTACACACAACACAGGATACAAATTTTGCTAAATCTTTGTGACAGACTTTTTTTCACCGATACAAAAGCTTTTGCGGTGGGTGAGAGTGAGTGAGGGAAGTGTGGCATGCAATAGTGAGAGTGGTAGACCATGACCCTCGATGGGAGGTGGACACAATAGCAGAGATAGATTTTTGGAAATAATATTTAACCATTGCTTTTCTAATTGCCGGTAATGTTTTGCAATTGCTTACTTTACGAATGTGTTTAGAGTATCTTGCTTTTGCTTCAATCATTGACATGAGCATCCTATATATTAAGGGTACAGACCTTTGTTTATTTACTGTCCCTCACTTTTTTGCAGATCCCATGCTTGTGCAGTGGTGCTCCGTGTCTGGTGTGCTCATGTTGTCCAACTGGAAGAACTTCCATAGTAACGCGATTGGTGTACACAACTATTTTATTGATTGGTACAACAGTTGCTGGTATTATGCTTATACCTGGAGTAGAAGATCAACTGAGGAAGGTATGACATAAGATCGAGCTTTAATAATGAATTAAATGTCTGAGTTGATTTGATATGGAGGAAAATCCTCCCATTTTAGTGTTTAAAGAAGCGTAGATTTTGTGAAATTGCTTGGTCGGTGTTCACATGGGTTAAATTCTATGCTCGAAGTGGGTAGCGGTACATACAGAAAGTTTACAGGTACACAGAGCCTGATTTAGCCATCTGTTGCTTTGACCAATTCCTGTTAACTCACATGTAATTAATGCTGATCCCTACTCAAACTACAACAGCATGAAATCAGCTCACTATAATAATGTGAAAGATTATATTCCAATTTTATGCAGTTTGTAAAGTTCCTTCTCAAGAAGAAACTACTGAAAAAATAAACAATTGTTCAAAAATTATCCCAAAAATGTAGCAGATCACTTTAAGTGATGTCACAAAAATGATGATAAGAGTGCACACTGTCTTTGGTGTATAGCACATGTACGTGCAATATTCGGCTTGAAAGAGACAGGATACCAAGTTGGCTTCATTATGTACATGCAATTAGTCCATTATTACATGGTTTTGTGCATTGTGCCAGGACAATACTTTATGCCCACGTACAGTCAGAGAAAAATATTTCCTATCAACTTTGGTATTTAGCGGAGTTTGGGATTATAGTAGCAGGAGCATGAAAATTGTGAACCTTTAGCCATTGTGGTAATTATAATTGATAATTTCACCCACCAGCAGTTCTATCCACTTCCCAATGACAACTAGAGAACAGTAGTATTAAAGAGTAATCATCTCTGCTCTCTTGAACGTTTCCGTCAGTGGTGTTAAGAAACCCATCTCAGCAAATGTACAGTTCTTTTTGTGATCAGCAGAGCAACAATATACAGCAATTCCTGGGTACCATTGTCACCTTGGAGGCTAGGTTTTCGGACTCCCATTCTAGAAACTTGAACATACCTTCATGTCTATCATCTCAGAGCTGTACTCTGGGTGTGCATCACCATTGGAAAGCTTTGGGTGAGACATTAACCACATCCTGCTCCCTCCAACCCCATCCCATCTGCTTGGCTTCAAAAGGGAAACTTGCTGTTTGACAAATTCCTCAAATTATTTTTTGAGGAATTGACCACTCAATGTCATGTGGGCCATATAAAACACCACAATGTTTTAGTACTGGATAAAGTTCTACACAAAGGAATGTTCAAGTTCGAAGGTTGGGTAATCCAGAGTAAATGTTGAAAACAATGAAATGGCAGTTGTGTAGGGCACATACTTGTTAGGAATGGAGAAGTACTGAGAGGAGTACTCTTAAGCTTTCATTGGGAATATTATTATTTTTCATATGAATGTGATTCCTAATGTAGTTTCTCAAATTGGTTGACAACCAAACTATAAGGAGCATCAGAATTAGAGAAGGTGACTCAGAACCTAAATAATGAGTTGGATAGACAGGTCTGAAAATTCACCCGTAGAATCAAACGGCATAGAAGGAAACTGATTGGCCTATCTTACCTCTACCACTCCTATATGCCTTTTCTTTAACCATAGTCTGTAAGTCCAACAGGAGTGGAATAAAACATAAATGTGTCGGCAAGCTTAGTCACAGCTTTCCTTGGCAATTACGATAGAAACTTGTCATGGCTGGAGCCTTTGTGCAGAAGGTAATGTGGTTTGAGCCTGTCATAAATACATCCAGTGACAAAAGGTGCTTCCAAAAGTAGTCATTGGGCCTAGGGTAAGAGTTTCCACTTTGAGGGCAGTCAATGACTCTGGGTGCAAATCATGCACAAAACTGCCCTTTGTAAAGCCTTTTACATAAGTTTCTGCTCAATCATATTTGCATACCACAGAATGTAGCATCATCCATAAACCAGTGAAATCAGACAGTGCTTTAGATTGTAATCTTAAAAAGAAAAATATTGCATTTAAAAATACTTGACATATTGAAGAGTTGGAACTTGGTGTAGTTTTAAGACAGCTCAAAATAATTGCATCACAATATACAAGTACTGTAGTTTTATTGAGTTAGCCTTGCCTATCATCTGATTTTAAAAACTGAAAATGATTGTTAACCAATATTCAGAAACAGTTACTAGTGCACAATTGTTAGTTTGTTTAATCAATGAAAAGAAAATTAGAAGCTGCTACCTACTGGTGCTCTTGCAGCTTAATACAAAAAATTGATTTTAAGAGACTCTTCAAAGAGTCCAGAACAGGTAGCATGAACGATGAATTTACACATAGTTGACAATTATATATTTGTCACTCATCACAAGATTTTTTATTTCAACAATATATTTTATTTATAACAGATATCTTTTTATATACACACACAGAGTCACAAACACAGTTCAGTTTTCTACAGTAGAATATCAAGGAAACAAACAAACATTGGAGTTTGACTGTATCCAAACAAAATAAAGAAGGGTAATACCCGAAACGATGACTGCTCCTTTCCTCCAGATGCTGCCTGGCCTGCAGTATTCTTCTAGCTTCCTGCTTGTCCACCTAAAGGCATTTCTTACTTGAACCAGGCTGTATTTACATGTATTTAAGACACCAGGCGGGTACGATAACTGAATGGACCCCCATTTAACTTCAACAGGGAGACCTCAGACAGTGGTCTTTCCCCAAGCTTTAGTGCGTCCCTCAGCACGTAGTCCTGGCCCTTGGAATGTGCCAGTCCACAACACTCGGTCAAGGTCAACTCCTTGTCCTGGAAGACCAACAAATTTCAGGCAGATCAAAGTGCGTCTTTCACCGAGTTGATGGTCCTCCAGGCACAATCGATGTTTGTCTCGGGGAACAGATGTTCTCTAATATCAAACAATTAAATTAGACAACTCCCTGACCTGGGAATTCTGTGAATCAATGTCGCAGGAAGGTGCATGTTTCCATTTCTGCCAGGATAGAGAGCCAGTAGCTTTTGAATATTGACAATAGTTGGCAAATAAATTTTAAGTTTATTCTAAGGATATGATGAATTTCTGTTTATTTCTTCAATTCAGTATAAACCAGTGTATTTCTAATAATGGCCCAAATCCTCCAACCAGAATAGGAATCCTTATTTCTGACCCATATCAGACAAGAAGTTACAGATTTACCTTCCTCACTCACACAGTTTAGTATTCTCTCAGAGATTAGCACCAAAAAATCACATACTGCTTTATGGCAATAAGTACCATAGTCCAGAATGTGAGCACAATTTAAAGGTCCCAAAATTCTCTCTGGAAAATGGTGGAGAAAAACTAACTGTATAAGATATGTGAGTGAGGGAGTATGGTGCTGGGTGGGCAAGAGGTAGACTAGTAAGACTGGGTGAGAGGATAGGGTGGCAGATTGCTAAGTGGGTAGGTTGGTAGGTGGGTGAAGCAGTTGTGTGGAAGATAGGTTTGTGAGTTGAGTAGCAGGTGGTTCAGCATGTAAGGTGGGGGTGAGGGGAGGTTGGGCTAGGTATTGTTAAGATTCCTGAGTGGGAATGGGGTCATCCAGGCTGAGAGAAGGTTTTAAATCCAGCAAGGATGGAGGTGGGAGGTGCTGGGGGAGTGGTGCACTTTGTGAGTGATTGCAGGTTCAGTAATGTGGGTACGCAAGAGTTAGGTAAGTTTTAATTTATCGAACAATTCAGGCGTAACGTTATCCAGGTAAGTCAGAATCCTCTGAAGTGACTGTCAGAGTTGGAGACTTTTTTGGAGGTTTCTTGATGCTGGGTAATTTGTTTGATTACAAATGATATTTCTTGTTTATCAGATAGCAATTCTCAAAAACTGCATTTTAGATTCCAGGATTCTGCGAGGCTGGATACAATGCACAGTTCCCTGAGGTTAACCCGGCGATCTGCAGAGTCTTAGTGGGTTACAAGTCTGTGTACCGTGTCTGCTTTGGAATGGCCACTTTCTTCCTGCTGTTAGCCTTGCTTCTGATCAATGTGAGAAATAGCAAGGATCCCAGGGCTCTAGTACACAACGGGTAGGCCATTTTGCAAATCTTTTCTGAAAGAGATTCTGCTCCAGAATCAAGATTATAATCATTGCATTGGTTTCATAAAGAATACTGTTACTTCTAAGGAACAAACTTACAAAATTAAGCTCTTGACAGAAGCCCTTGCCTGCTTGTAGCAGATACTGCAATTTGCAATTTTTGCTGTGAGATCAAGGAACACAAGACTTTCTTCCTGGAATGGGATTTGGTTAAAAAAAAATCCACATGTATTGCATTTTATTGAAGCTAACTTTCTTCAAGACACTATATTAAGTAACAGATTTTAATGAGTTTTACAGTATAGTTTTAATATCTAACAGTAGTTATTCATCATTTAATCTTATGCATAACAAGCAATTTAATATTAAAAGTAGATTAATATTGTATAAAATTAAAATGTGCACAGTGTAATTATCTTTTCTTGAAATAACACAATAATTTATTTGACCTTTTTAGAATTAAATGAAATTATGAAGAATAAAAAAAATTATTCAAGAGTATACAGGATTGAATGCTGTGGATCCTGTACAGAAATGTAAGACTTATGGTCTCATTAACATTCTCTTTTCAAAGCTTCTGGTTATTCAAGTTTGGAGCACTTGTAGCAATAATGGTTGGTGCATTTTATATTCCTGAGGGATATTTCAGCCGAGGTAAGTGACAAATCAACAGAGTTCCCCACTTCGCGTGGGCTTGAATGGACTGTTAAGTGCCTTTGCATTGAATGTTTGAAACTAAACCATTTAAGGCTCACATTGATGGAAACAAATGATACGATATGCCAAGAATTGTGTATAGGAATATCATAATTCAATAAGTAACCTTATAATACAGATAGAGATTGGACTTTCATTAAATAGTTATGTCTTGTGGACAATATGATAATGGAAAACAGACAGAACTTTGACACTTGCATCTTGTAGTGACTTCAATACAAATATTTAATATTTGGACTTAACGTTTCTCGTTTTAATTACTTATATGTGGCAGATACACTATTTCAGAAAGGCAGATGGTGAACGATAGAACTGGACTCAATCTTTACAACACTTTTACAAGGCTATATTTATAGAGAGATTAACTAAAATCTGCACTTTCTTACGCTAAAAACTATTGTTTCAGACTATTACTTTTACAGGGGAAATGTTTCTTTTTACGTTGTTCTTGAATGGAATGTGTCTGTTGCTTGTCCCCCACTTCTAATTACCCTCGAGAAAGTGGAGGTGATCTACCTTTTTCAATTTGCTGCAGTAAGAGGGTGTGGGGTAGGTACATCCACAGTGCTGGTCGTGAGGAACTTCTAGGATTTTGATCCAGCAATAGTGAAGGATTGGCAATATAGTTCCAAATTCGGATGATGTCTCGCTTGGTGTGGAACTTGTAAGTAGTGGCATCTGCTGCTTTTGTGCTGCCAAAGTGATAAAGGTTTCCAGTTGTGAATGGAGCTTTTGAAGGATCCTTGTATATAATACAGATTGCTGCCTCTGTCCATCACTTGTGAAAGGAGTGAATGTTATAGTTGGTGGATGGCACACTGATCCAGATTTGTCCTGGATAGTGTTGAGCTTCTTTATTGTTGTTGCAGCCATATTCATTTATACAAGTATATTCTCTTGACTTCTGCCTGGAGGATAGTGCACAGCCTTTGGGAAGTCAGATCTGAGTTATGCATGTCAGAATTCCCAATCTCTGACCTGCTCTTGAAGTCTCAGAATTTAGACGGTTCATCCAGATGGTTTTGTGTTCACTGGTGACCACCCCCAGGCTGTTGATAATGGGAGATTCAGCAATGATAATGCCAAAGGGAGATGGTTAGGTTCACTTCTGTTGGAGGTGGCCATTGTCTGATATTGTGTGGCACCAGTGGTATTTATCACTTAAGTCTGAATGTTGCCCACTTCTTGCAATACATGGATATGGACAGCTTCAGTACCTGAGGAGAGATGAATAGTGCCAAACATTGTGCAATCGTTGGTGAACTTCCCCACTTCTGACTTTATGAAGGGAAGGTCATTGATGAGGGATGGGCAAAGGAGGTCTGAGGAGATCTTGTGGAAATATGTTTGGACTGTTATCAACATCCAACAATCTTAAACATCTTCTTTTGTGTTAGGGATATGTCTCCAGCTAGTAGAGGTTTTCCCTTGATTTCCATTAACTCCAGTTTTGCTGGGGTGTCTTGATGCTGCACTTAATCAAATGCTGCCTTGATATCAAGGGTGGTCACTCTGATCTTCCCCTTGAGTTCAGCTTTTTTGTACAAATTTGGACCAAGGTCAGATGGAACCTGAACTGAGCATCACCCAGCACATTATTGCTAGTAAGTGCTGCTTGATAGCACTATTGATGACATCTCATCACTTTACTGATGATCGAGAGTAAACTGGGGCACTAATCGACTGGACTGATTTTTTTTTGTGGATACTATATGCCAGGTGGTTTTTCATTTTGTCAGTACAATTATGTAGCAATACTGGAACAGTTTGGCTCGGGCTGTGTAGCTTATCCAGACCACAAGTGCCCAATATCATTTAGCCTTTCAATATCCAGTGCCTTCAGCCATTTCTTCATATCTCATGGAGTGAATCAAGTTACTTGAAGACTGGTATCTTTGATATTGGAAACATCAGGATGAGGCCGAGATTGGATCTTCCATTCAGCACTTCAGGCTGAGGAGGGATACAAGTGTTTGCTATTTTCATTGATGTGCTGTGCTCCCCCATTATTGAGGATGGAAATATTGGTGGAGTCTCCCTCCTCCTGTTGTTTAATGATTCACCATTATCCGTGGCTGGAGGTCACAGTGCTGAAGAGCTTGGATCTGATCCATTGGCTGTGGGATTATTTGATTTGGTTAATTGCGCACTGCTTCTGCTGTTTGTCATACAAGTAGACCCTGTTTTATAGGTTTTCCAGGTTGTCACCTCAATTTCAAGTACGCCTGCTGCTGATAGGCTATCTAATACTTTTCATTGAATTCCCCTGTTTGAGGTCATGCCGGTATGGGGAATATGCAGGCCTTGAGATTACAAATTGTGGTTGAACACATTTCTGCTGCTGTCTATGAGCCACAGCATCTCATGGATGCCCACTTCCTAGATCTGTTCCAGTATTATCCCAATTAACGGGGAGGGTATGCTCAACATGAGGGTGAGACTGGAATCGTAGAATCCCTAGAGTGCAGAACTTGGTCATTCAGACCTCCAAAGAGCATCCCATCCAGACCCAGCCCCACAACCTATCTCCGCAACCCACATTTAGCATGGCCAATCCACTTAACCTGCACATCTCAGACTTTGGGAGGAAACCGGAGCACCCAGAGGAAATCCACACAGACACAGGGAGAACGTGCAAGCTCCACACAGACAGTCGCCTGAGGCTGGAATTGATCCCAGGTCCCTGACGCTGTGAGACAACAATGCTGCCCACTGTGCCGCCCATTACTGTCCCATGGACAGATAGACCACTTGGTGAGGCCAAGATGTCGTATGTTCTTCCTTATTGTTGGTTCCTTCACCACCTGCTGCAGACCCAGTCTAGCCTTTAGGATCCTTATGTCCTTTAGGATCCAGCCAGCTTAGTCCACGCTATTGAGCCACTCTTAATGATGGGTGTTCAGGTTCACCACAAACAATATATTCACTCTTCCCTCATTCTTTCTTCCAATTGTTCTTCAATCTGGAGGAGCACTGGATGAAGGCAGTAGGTCAGAATCAGCAGGAGATTTCTGGTCTATAGCTGGTGCCACATGCTCCAGAGTCACTGTTGAGGATTCTTGAGGCAATTTCGTCCCAAATGTATACCAGTCTACCACCACCGCTGCTGAATCTGTTCCTTCTTAAAAGTCAGCTGTTGATCGGATGGGCCAAAGGGCCGAGGAGTGGCAGATGAAGTTTAATTTGGATAAATGTGAGGTGTTGCATTTTGGTAAAGCATATCAGGGCAGGACTTATACAGTTAATGGTAGGGCCCTGGGGAATGTTGCCAAGTAAGGAGAACTTGGGGTGCAGGTGCATCGTTCCATGAAAGTGGAGTCACAGGTAGAAGGGGTGGTGAAGAAGGTGTTTGGCATGCTTGCCTTTATTGATCAGAACATTGAGCAGAAGAGTTGGAATATCATGTTGCAGCTGTACAGGACATTGGTGAGGCAATTTTTAGAAAACTGCGTGCAATTCTGGTTGCCGTTCTACATGAAGGATGTTGTTAAATTTGAGAAAGTGCAGAAAAGATTTACAAGGATGTTGCCAGGACTGGAGGGTTTGCGTTAGAGGAAGAAGTTGAAGGCTGGGGCTATTTTGCCTTGAGATTCGGCGGCTGAGGGGTGACCTTACAGAGGTTTATAAAAACCATAAGGGGCATGAATAGGGTAAATAATCAAGGTATTTTTCGTAGTGTAGGGGAGTCCATAAATAGAGAACATAGGTTTAAGGTGAAAGGGAAAAGATTTGAAAAGGACCTGAGTGGTGACTTTTTCATGCAGAGGGTGGTGTGTGTATGGAACGAGCTGCCAGAGGAAGAGGTGGAGGGTGCTACAATTAGAACATTTTAAAAGGCATCTGTGTGAGTATATGAATAGAAAAGGTTTAGAGGGATATGGGCCAAATGCTGGCAAATGGACTAGGTCAGATGTTTGCTGGCGTGGATGAGTTGGACCAAAGGGTCTGTTTCCTTACTGTGTAACTCTGACTGTATGCTTGCAGTTCATCTAATGTAGCCATGACCAGCTCATGCCCCACTCCCCCCATCCCTTGATGAGGCCACACAACCAGAGCTGCCAGGCTACCTGCTTGATGTGTGGGACTTCTCCTGCCTTGGGTTCAATAGTGGTGGTGAACCGACTACTTAAGGCTTCTGCTACTACCTGTCAAATTTCAGACAGCTTGTGAACAGGTGGTTGGGAGGCCACGCACTGGATTTTACAACTTCAGTGCCTTCAAATCTGCTATCAAGAAATGTGCAATTCAATGATTTAGATTTCTTCCCATTAATACACTCTGCAAAGGTTGCGTCATTGAGTGTCCTGAGTAGAATTGCAGATGTTAAATCGATTTGGAAAGAAATGTATCCTGTTCTCCTCACATTACCAGAAGCCTTTTAGCATTAAGTGTTCAATTAAGTACCTTAATGCTTACAGCAGGAGATGAAAATTCGATTAATGACTTATGGTATACACATTTTAACGTTAGCAACAGGAAACTGACATGCCTCTAAGCTGAAAGAGTCTCTTTATAATAAGTGAATCATATTTCAATTTTTCTGAAAAACAAAGTATTGAATCTTATTAGGGTCTGAGTGATGTGGGCGTGGCGAGTTGAAGAATTGTGCAAGGAGTTCTGTGTGGCCTATCTAGAGGTCACAAACAACTTGCCCCATCTTTTAGGTTAATACAAGGCAAGATTAATGTTTGGCCATGGGTAGTCCCGGCCTATCCAGCCTCTCAAACCCTTCAGTTCTGGCAACATCCTAGTAAATCCCTCTCCAGTTTAGCAATATCCTTCCTATCCCATCTGACCAGAACTGCACACATTACTCCAAAGTGACCTCACCAACGTCCTGTACAACCTCAATGGGATGTTCCAACTTCTGTATTCAATGGTCTGAGCAATGAAGGCAAGCATGCCATACGCCTTCTTAACCATTTTGAAAGTTGCATGTGACAGGGAGTCAAAGACTACATACCTGAACGATCCTCCACCACCACACTCTGTCTCCTACCATCAAACCAGTTTTGCATCCAACTGGCAAGCTTTCTCTGAATCTCATGTGATCTAACTTTATTGATCAGTCTACCATGCGGAACCTTGTCAAAGGCTTTAATAAAATCCATGTAGACAACGTCTCCTGCTCTACCCACATCAATCTTTTTGGTTACGTCCTGAAAAAACTCAGTCAAGTTTGTGAGACCCATTTTCCCACACACAAAGCCGTGCTGACTATCCCTAATCAGGCCTTGCTCTGAGTACCAGCGGCCTGGAGCGATTCTTCCTCATCCAGTTGTCGCAGTGACATGTTCCCCAGAGTGTGGTCTTGCACTTTCTAAGTCTAACATTCTCACCCAGTTGTCAGTATCTGATCTGGTGTGGGCTACAGGAGCCAGACTCGCCAATGCTTCCTCTGAGGCCTCAGTATTCTCGTCCTCAGGTTGGTTTGTGCAGGAGCTGGTCGTTTCACCATGGAGGTAGTTGCAATGCTGGTGTGACCTGCAATACACAAGAGAAAGGATGTGACAGCCAGTGATTAGAAGTGTTGAGCAATGAATGACCCTAACAGCAAGATTAATGTGAGAGGTGTAGTGTAATGAAGATTGATACCTGCTCGGTTGGCGGGACATGGTTGTCTTCTCCAAGAATGGGCAAAATATGGAAATGAAGGAGAGGAAATTCAATAACACCTTTAGAACTGCTGGAAACACAGGGAGCATACAGGGTGTTAGTGGTGTGGGAGGTTGAAGGGGGGTAAGAGTGTGTGAAGGAAGATATTACAGGCAATAGTGAGAGTGGTAGTAAATGTGCCTTGGTGGGATGTGAGTGCACGAGCAGAGCTACAGTGAGTGTGAGGTGGCAGAAAGAACAGTGAGTCACTTACACTGATGCAGAAGAGCATTGTCTTTCTTATGGTTATGCTGACCATTCCCCACAGCCTGTGGAAACAGCACTGAACTGCATGTCACCCTCAGAGCAGGATACCAGATTTTGGTGGTGTGACTTCCTCTGCCATCTTGTGAATCCTCTCCTTTGCACCATCCCTGTCAATCAGCACTTCAGAGAATCGCAGAACTATTTTCCCTTTGTCCGACATCTCCTGCAAATTTTCTTGACCGAACAGGGCTGGTACAGAATGCTAGTGCTCATCTGGCATGCATAGCAGTCTTTTAAAGATGGCACAAGTGAAAGCAAAATACTGCAGATGCTGGAAATCAGAAACAACACAGAAAGTGCTGGAAAAATTCAGCAGATATGGTTACTTCTGTGCAAAGAGAGAAACAGAATTAACGTTTTGAGTCCAATATCTTAAACACCATGTGGAAGGAAGCAGATGCATAAACCTAAGAGCCTCAGTGACCTTGACACCTATAAATAATGCAGTTTCTTGAGATTGTTGGCTTGCTCACTGAGCTGTCTGGTTATCGTACAGACTCTTCGTCACCATGCTAGGTAACAACATCAGTGTGGTTTCCAATGAAGCTTTATTGGAGGCCTTACTGCTGATGTTATCTAACATGGTGACGAAACGTCTGTACGATAACCAGCCAGCTTGGCGAGCAAGCCAACAACCTCATCTACAACCCGAACTACAAATCTTCGCAAGAATCGTAAATGCAGTTTCTTGCCTTGCATTGCGCGGTGGCTACAGCAGTTAGAAAATTTAAGTGACAACTATTTTTTAATTAATTCACCTGTATTGGAGGTGCTCACCGCTGTTCAGGTTGGAGAATTGCTCTCTTAAAGCCCCATGCAGATAGCCTCCTGCTAAGAACCATTTCCCCTCTTCCAGCACCTTGTCTTCATCACTTTCAAGAGCAAGATTTATTAGGCCATGGAAGTAATTTGTTTTGGCACACAATTTTTAATCAACGGAAAGGTATTGACAGTACCATTAAATTTCTGAATTATATGCAGCCTTAGGAAAACTCCAAAAATGTGTACATTTGCAAAGCACCCAGAAGAAATAGTTTGGGAACTCACCAACAAATCATTCATTATTCTTTTAAGTAGCGCTGACCAGGGAATCCGAGATGGTATTCTGCTTATGTTCAGCAGCTTGACATTGAGGCATTTCAAAATGGGTAGCGCTGGCATTAAATCAGCATTGCATACATGTTAGTGTCATAATCTACCAGCTCTGCATATTATCAGCAGATGTTAGGTTCATTGTACCACGACAGTGGTTTATTGGAAGTGTGTTTAAGGATCTACGACCTGATTTTCAACCTTTAGAAAAGCAATTATTGGCTATAAAAAGGGCACTATTGAACACATATTTACTCCTTGTACTGGTTTCACAGCATCTTCTCCTTTACCATTTCTCAGGAAAGGAAGAATGTTCCCTTCCATGCATGAAGATGGCTCTTTAGTTGTATTAGGTTTCGTCCTGTCAACCCCATGGCCTGCACAAATAGTGATACATTAAACCAAATTAAGGCCACATTGTATCCAAATACAGAAGCACTTTGATGCATTCCAAAAGCCACTACTCAGGAAGTACCTCTGATGCCTTTCCTGAAAAACTTCAAAATATTTGCACTTCAGAAGGAGAAGCAGATGTTCTGTGAAGACTAGGACCAACATCTGCATTCATGATTTCTGACTTCACTGCTTAATGCTTAACAAAACCTGGAATCCTCAAGCTATAAGCCTGAACAGCATGTTTTCCATTTCTCTCAACATAGAAAAAAAATCACTGTTAAGCTCGGATAGACACAAATGTGTCCAAAACAAAAGTTATCATTGTACACAAAGCTTCAAATGGTAACTCCAAGAAAGTGGAATAATTCTCAATTTAAGTTTGTGCAGTGAGTGATGGACACCACAAGAAATATGCATAGAAGGGAGCAGCCATTGACTCTTCCTAGGACCGGCAACCCTTCTTCATTTGCATTTGTGAATGAGAGATTTTGTTGACTGTACTGGCTATGTCAACAACCTCCCAACATGCATTTTGTGCTCTGATTAGAGGGTGATCTGCTCCCAGTACAATCACCATTGTTTAGTTTATCTCCTCTAACTTTTCAGTCTTCAAGAGAACAGTGTTGTCTCCAAGTCTTTGCTGTGCTGTTATGAATAATTAGATCATTTTAATGCAACTATATAATTGCCCATTTCAAATTGTATTCTTTAAAGAGTTGCTGCATCATTGGATTTTACACAGGTCAGCCAAGTGCGCACTAAGCTCTATGGGCAAGCTTTTGCAATTGAATGGGTGCCTTGGACCAATTCAACCTCATACTTGGCAATAACACTGTGTTATGCTCCACAGTTAGTGCTTCTGTAGACTTTCTTTTCATTCTTTTAGCAGCTGTAACAAGAGGATAGATTGTACAATTAAATGCAATTTCTGTACCACCATGTTAAGTGGAATATGAGGAGGCATGGAGAAGATCATAAGTTGCAAAGGAACAATGACAAGTTAAATAAGTAGCAATAACTGTAACAGATGGAGTTAAATGTGGGATAATCTGATACCATCCACTTGGACGTAAGGAAGATCAATCAGAGTATTTGTTTTATTATGATTTCTTGGGCTGGAAATGTTGCCGACAGGGGCAGCGTTTGTGGCTTCAAGGTACATGTTTCTCTGATGTGCAGGGTATTTCTGATGACGTATAGACTCCCATCATCCATCTCATCATCTTCATGAACAGAAAGCTATTTTGTTCCATTAATGACCAGCAATTTTATGAATATTTGCCCAAAATAAGTATTTACATACCCACTCTCTTGATAGGTTTGATTCATGTCAATCAGTGGTGTGATCACTATTTAAGGAGCCAGGAGGACATGCAAGAGGACATTCCTATTCAGTACTCATGTTGCTTCCCCTTCATGAAAGTTATCTTTTATATCCTCTCCACTATTTACCTGCTCATTCTGCCAAGTGACAGTCAGACAAAAATCAAACAGTAGAATTGAAAATTCCAATTTAACTACTTCATTGATTATAAAACTGTTTTGAAAGTTCAAGGAATAAAAATAAGCATCGAATAATGTTAAAATTTAATTACACGTAAATATTGATGTTCATCTGCGGCTAATTTGTTTCAGAGATAAGATGTTAAATAAGTTTTCTTTTTTTAGTGTCGTTTGGAATTGGTTCAGCTGGTGCTTTTTGTTTTATTCTGACTGAATTGGTGCTGCTGGTTGACTTTGGTAATTCCTGGAATGAATCCTGGCTAAAAAAATCAGAAGAAGGTGGATCACGGTGTTGGTACTTTGGTATGTGTTGTTATTCATCATTTACTTGCGGTGGTAAAATTTAATTAAGACAAATTAACTCATTCTGAATCATAATCAGTTAGAGTATAAATTGAAATAGAATCATAGAATCCCTACAGTGCAGAAGCAGGCCATTCGGCCCATCGAGACCACATCTACCTTCTGAAGACCCTCCTACCCTATCCCCGTAACCCTGAATTTCCCATGGCTAATCCACCTAGCCTACACATCCCCGGACACCATAGGCAATTTAACATGGCCAAGCCACTTAACCTGTACATCTTTGGATGAATTCCAGCAAATTTTTGTAAAAGAATGTCTTGTAACATAACCAACCCAATCTTTCAGAAAACAAAACTAGGTTAAGAATCGTCTTAACCGCTATCGTTGGTGCTAGTTCTCAATGATTGGTATGAATGTTAGCAGAATATTGATGTGGTAATAGCATTCATTTTTTCAAGGTAAGCTTATTGACATTGGATGAGATGTTAAACTGGAATCTCTTTGTTTGTTCAGCTGATGCGAAAGATCCTGTGGGGGCTATTAAAGAGCAAGTGAGTTCCTCCAATATTCTGGCATACATTTATCCATCAATCAGTCAAAATCAAAAACAAATTAATTGGTCATTTATCCTATTGCTGCCTACAGGATTCCAGTGTGTACAAGCACACTGTTGATTCGCCTAAAAATGAATGGTTATTACTCTATAAGTAATTCATTGGCTGTGAAGTATTTTGAATATGCTATAAATGTGAAAGGCACCATATAAGTGGAAGTCATTTCCTTATTATTTTTCACATGTCCAAGTGAAGATTTGGATAGGTATGCAAAGAATTCTGACAACGTAATTGGAAAACTAAATGTAGGTAACTTTTAAAGGAATATAAGCAAATAAAGAGAAATGTCTAAATTACTAAGTAAAAATACAGCACCCAGGAGTATGACAGCAGACAATTGCATAGTTAATCACACAATCTTTTGTTTTAATGTGTCCTGAAGTGGAAATGATGTTGCATCAGTTGGTTCTAAAAACCATGCCCTTCTTGCCATTCAAAGGCATGACCTCCACAGATCTGCATCATGTCTGGGTGGAAATAGAGACAGGCTTGAGATCATACCTTGTCACCTTTCTGTTGCACGGTAGGTGACCTTGCAGGTGATAACTGACTTCACAAGGAAATCAATAACCAGTTAGTCAGACATTCAAATATCACTGCCATTACAACCTACTTTGGTAATAGGAGCTTCCTTCCATAGATTCATGCATTTAATTGGTGACCTGTTGTGTAGTTTCACCTACCCGGTAACCCTTCATTGGTCCATCTCATGCTTGGAATAAAAACAATTAAATCAAGTGCATTGAGTACAGGAGTTGGGAGGTCATGTTACGGCTGTGCAGGATATTGGTTAGGCCACCTTTGGAATGATGCGTGCAATTCTGGTCTCCCTGCTACAGGAAGATGTCGTGAAACTTGAAAAGGTTCAGAAAAGATTTACAAGGATGTTGGCAAGATTGGAGGGTTTGAGCTACAAGGAGAGGCTGAATAGACTGGGGCTATTTTCCCTGGAATGTCAGAGGCTGAGGGGTGACTTTAAAGAGGTTTATAAAATCCTGAGGGGCATGGATAGGGTGAATAGACAAGATTTTTTTCCCAGGGTGAGGGAGTCCAAAACTAGAGGCCATAGGTTTAAGATGAGAGGGGAATGATTTGAAAGGGACCTGAGAGGCAACTTTTTCACACAGAGGGTGGTGCATGTATGGAATAAGCTGCCAGAGAAAGTGGTGCAGGGTGGTACAATTACACCATTTAAAAGGCATCTGGATGGGTATATGAATAGGAAGGGATTAGAGAGATATTGCCCAAATGCTGGCTAATGGGACTAGATTTATTTAGGATATCTGGTCAGCATGGATGATTTGAACTGAAGGGTCTGTTTCCATGCTACACATCTCTATGATTCTACAACTGACAGAACAATTTAGGTGGTACATGGAAAGAAAACAAAAATTAAGCAAAAGTAGGCTATAAGCAGCCTTATTGTGCTTTTCAGACCAGTGCAAATCAATTATTCAATCCTTCCCAACTATAGATACCAAGCTCTCAAGGAAACATCAAGCTCTTAAGAACATTGGAAAATAGTTCATCAGGTTTTAAAGCTTAAATTAAGCTCTAATATTTTCTTCCCAAGTGAGATCTTCCTACTTGCATTCCATTTCACTGTAAATGACTGTCAATGGCAAATGGGATTGATATCTGCAGTTGTTCAGTTTATTATGCCTAGTGAACACCTCACATGGGACAAAAGTGGACTTGAAAATTAATCCCAGTATCTGAATATTGGTCAATCCCAAAACATAACTGATAGAATTGGGGATTGGGATGCAAGCTATTTTCTCCCATGGTGATTCAGTGGATGTGCAGAATTTGTTACTGCCAGTGCTGGAGATTGTATACATTCATAACAGAGTGGTTTGTTAGCTTTCATTGACTATTCAGAAATCTACAAACTCATTTAAAGGTTAATTCCTCCAATCCCAGTAGGTCGTTGTGATTCTGCGGGTCTTATCTGTCTTATGATTTCTCCCCTGTAAAATTAGCTGTGCATTCATAATCTCTCAAAATATTCCCATGCATTACCCTTACTAATTGTCAAATTTTGCATTAAACTTCTTTTAATTTTAAGCAGCTCACACCCAAAGAGGGTAACCGGAATCATTAATCAGTCCTATAAATATATTTCTGCCCTTGCTATGCCTTATTGTGTCTAAAGAATTGTCCCAGATGACAAAAAAACTCATTAACATCTGGCAGCTGGTGGAAGAGCTGTCCAAAAGGCTAATGAAGAGTCTAAAACAGTCCTTCTCACTGTCTAGAATTACAATAGATAATGAAACAACATACTCAGAGGTGGATCAATTAGCCTTAGAGAACAATGTTAAACAGTTGGACGTGAGGGACCCTGGAGTTCACAGCCAGACTGCACTCCCTCTGAAACTTCATAGCTTTAGGCCAAACAATGTCAAAAAAAGTCCCATTGTTCCTTACCCTCTGCCCCCTCCGGAGTCTTTTCCATGTTAGACATTGTTTGGAAAAATCTCTGTATGATGAAAAAACCTCACTCCAGACTCTTAAACTTCAGCTAAGTTTCTAGTGGCTCACAGAGAGCCTCACTTTAAAGGGTAACTAAGCTTGGTGCACATCTGTAAGTATGGCTCTTCCTTACTGCCCAGACTTGAAGTTAATGGTGGTGGGCATCGCTTGACTCCAGGGATCCTTAACAACATATTTAATCATTCCCATCAGAAGAAAGCAGCTTAAACTGTAGGCACGGTCAAATCAGCTGGCAAATGCATCATCCAAATTATTTCCTGGCAGTGAAGTTGCCCATTAGGAAAGTCTAGCTGTATAGCTGTAGGAGAAAGATAAGAGGAAATAGTGAAAGAAGGATTGAGGATGCTTGATGTACTAAGAGAGCAATAGTATGCATCTTTACATTCTTTAATACAATTGAGCCATTCCTGGTGTTACAAAATGCAGAATTATGGCCAGCGGCAATCTGGAGAAAACATTAGGGCAAAGCTTGAAAGATTTTTACGCTGTTTGTTTGCTGCAGAAGTGCTGAAGGACAAACCCCTTGTGGGATATCTGGAACGTACATAGAGATTGTTACTGTCAGATGTAAGTGATGAAGGATAAGCTTTACCAACCATAATTACATGCATTCTGCATGGGATTGAACTTGCTAGGGGAAGGATATAGAGTAGCGACTGGGGCCTCTCCATCTGAGCACTTATTAAGTTTTCAACATCTGGATATATTGGATGCACATCCGGAAGGCAACAACTATCTCTAGCAGATGCCTCCTAGTGGGGGTCTTGAGGGAGCTGTTCCAAGTTAAGGAGATGGCCCTCAGTATTTCTTGGTTTATAATCTGTAGGGAAGGCATAAGATATAAGACTGTTAAATGTGATAAAATGAAGTCTTACTATTCAATGTGCTGAAATTTTGTTCTGCTGAATATGAATCCATATGCATATATTTTATCATAAAACGATCTTAAATATTCAAAAAAGGTGATAGAGCATACTTTGCACTCTTCTTTAATGTTATTCCTTAGCAATGTACGTAATAATTGGGTCCCAAATTAACTAAAATACACTGACACTTTTAAACTCTGTTCCTTATAAGTGGAAATTGAAGGGGAAATGATGGCTATTTATTATAGGGAGCAAGAAGCTGAGTGAACCATTCAGAGTTTGAGTCCTGTTTAATGCCCATCCCTGATTCCCATGAAAATATGTTCCTTTACATTTACTTGAAATGGAACAGTCAGACAGACTGCAGAATCTAGATGAGAAATAGTCAGGTATCAATGGAAAACAAAATTGCGTTATAATTGTAGAATGAATGTATGGTCCCCTTAAATAACTATCTCAATCAAAGTATCACAAGGTGTGTTAATGAAGTAGACTTACCCCCTTGAATAATGATGAGCTATTACCTGCACCTAGTTTTCCTCCATTTCTACAGAAACCATTGATTAATGTTGAAGCTTGCTTCCATGAGCTGTTGTAACTCTCCCAAAGTGACTACTATTCATGATTTTGTTCTCATATAACTCCCTTCATTCATAGGTACTGTTACTTTGAAATTTTTTGTTATTTTTCAAAATTCATCTAGGAATAATCTTTCAAGTGAATGTACATAATTGTATGGAGCTGGGGAATCTAAACTTTTGTTTTATGTGCTGAATACAGCCTCAGGGGCTACAGGGATTTTAAATCCATGCTTTTATTCATTTGCAACCATCTCCAGCAGCTGTAAAATCTCGTGTTTTTCTGAATCAGTATTTATGCAGTACTGAGACATAGAGCATTCCCTTTCAAACGTTGTGAGTCTGCAAAATTTAGACAATCAACCACAGAACAAAATAACAATTAACAGAGATAGGATTGAGTTCCCAGTGTTTTGAAGGCTGGATTCTTAGGGTTTGGGGCT